TCCTGTTCTCTCTACCTGTGATATTCCAAGAAATCTAATAATCCCTCCCAGTTCTCATCTCTGACTGCAAAATAGCCCCACTTTTTGTTGAGAAGAAGAGGAGGGAAAGGATACTGAAGTTTAGCAAGAGACAACTAGACAGGGTTGACACAATTTCTTTCAACTTTCCACAACAGGTAATTAGAAGACAAATATCAAATATTCAGGTTGTACAATGTGGCATTTCTCTTTCTCTAAGTGGTCTTTATTTTAACAATAACATGGCTTGTGATGTACAAACTTTCCAGCTGGGCATGGCTCCATCTTTGATGAATTTCACCCTTAAACTGATACTAAAGTCTTGGGGTTTTTTTTTTTAAATACCAAACATGTTATACTTACCTGCTCTGTGCAGTGGTTTTGCACAGAGCAGCCCGGGCCCTCTCTTCTTGGGTCCCCCACTGGCGCTCCTGACCCCTCCCTTCTTTTGGGTGCCCCCCACTGCAAGAAGCTTGCTATGGGGTCACCCGAGCAGGTGCGCTCCGAAGCCACGGCTCTGCATGTCCATTCACACAAAGAGCTGCAGCTCAGCCCCACCCCCGCCCTCTCCTGAGTGGCCAATGGCTCTCGCTGCTGCCTCAGCCAATCAGGAGAGTCCCTGGAGAACTGAGGCTCTCGTGGACATTGCTGAATTGGGATGAGGCTCGGGTAAGTGTTAGGGGGGACTGGGGGGCTGCTACACACAGAAGGTTTTTTACATAGAATGCATGAATGTAAAAAGCCTTGAGCCTTTAGAAACACTTTAAGCAGGCCATAGCTGCACTGAATCATGTGCAAGCAAAAGTGCTCTTTTTTCAATTTTCCTTGCACGTGATTGGGTATCAGGAGAGGCCCTGGAGTACTGAGGCTCTCATGGACATACAGTTGTGTTCAAAATAATAGCAGTGTGTTGAAAAAAGTGAATAAAGCTCAAAATCCTTCTAATAGCTTTTATTTCCATACACACAAATGCATTGGGAACACTACACATTCTATTCCAAATCAAAACATGAAGAAAAATAGATCAAATTTGTTCCTTTTGAAGAAAAGTGAATATTAGACTGTTCAAAAAAATAGCAGTGTTTGTATTCTTCTTTACAAACTCAAACATTCACTATATAAACTGAAAAATGTTTGAAGATTTTGCTTTCCTTTGAATCACTTAATTAATATTTATTTGTATAAGCACTGTTTCTGAGAACTGCTGTACATCTGTGTTGCATGGAGTCAACCAACTTCTGGCACCTGTGAACAGGTATTCCAGCCCAGGATGATTGGACTACATTCCACAGTTCTTCTCTATTTCTTGGTTTTGCCTCAGAAACTGCATTTTTGATGTCACCCCACAAGTTTTCTATTGGATTAAGATCCGAGGATTGGGCTGGCCACTCCATAACGTCAATCTTGTTGGTCTGGAACCAAGATGTTGCACGTTTACTGGTGTGTTTGGGGTCGTTGTCTTGTTGGAACACCCATTTCAAGGGCATGTCCTCTTCAGCATAAGGCAGCATGACCTCTTCAAGTATACTGATGTATTCAAACTGATCCATGATGCCTGGTATGCGATAAATAGGCTCAACACCGTAGTATGAGAAACATCCCCATATCATGATGCTTGCGCAACCATGCTTCACTGTCTTCACAGTGTACTGTGGCTGGAATTCAGTGTTTGGGGGTCGTCTGACAAACTGTCTCCGGCCACTAGACCCAAAAAGAACAATCTTACTTTCATCAGTCCACAAAATGTTGCGCCATTTCTCTTTAGGCCAGTCAATGTGCTCTTTGGCAAATTGTAACCTCTTCAGCACGTGTTTTTTTCAACAGTGGGACTTTGCAGGGGCTTCTTGCAAATAGCTTGGCTTCACATAGGTGTCTTCTAATTGTAACAGTACTCACAGGTAACTTTAGACCTTCTTTGATCTTCCCTGAGCTGATTGTTGGCTGAGTCCTTGCCATTTTGGCTATTCTTCTATCCATCCGAATGATAGTTTTTCGCTTTCTTCCACGTCTTTCAGGTTTTGGTTGCCATTTTAAAGCATTTGCGATCATTTTAGCTGAGCAGCCTATCATTTTCTGCACTTCTTTATATGTTTTCCCCTCTCCAATCAACTTTTTAATCAAAGTACGCTGTTCTTCTGAACAATGTCTGGAACGACCCATTTTCCTCAGAATTTCAGAGAGAAATGCACTGTAACCAGCATGTACAACATTTGCTGCCTTCCTTCCTTAAATAAGGGCAATAATTGCCACCTGTTTTTCAAAGAATGAATGACTTCACTAATAGAACTCCACACTGCTATTATTTTGAACATGTCCCTTTCAATTAGTGATTCAATGACACAGAATCAGCAGCATGCATGTCATGACTGTTGGGTCTGTTGGATTTCTATTACTCTACTACACCTGCTAGTAAATTATTTGCCATGTAGAAATATAATTTCTACCAAAAACAGTGGTTGATCAGGTTAGTGATGTCTGACTGCTATTATTTTGAACACAACTGTAGCTAAATCAGGATGAGGCTTAGGTAAGTGTTAGGGGAGGCTGGGGGGGGCTGCTAAACACAGAAGGTTTTTTACATAGAATACATGAAGGTAAAAAGCCTTGAGCCTCTAGAAACACTTAAGCAGGCCGTAGCTGCATCGAATCTCAGCCAATTCAGCATGGACTGGCCAAGATTCAATCCATCTATGGGGAGACTGGTTGTAATAAAGTAAATCCATTGATCGGCTTCAGTATAACCAGCCTGTCTGATTATTTGTATGCAATTACTGCAATAGCCACTAACAGTAATCACTATGTTCTGCCTGCTGGTAAGGCCCCCCCCCCCGCCTGCAGAACACAACAGCTCTGTGGGAGGCGTTCCCCCATCAACGCTGGCTGTGTTGATAGGGGAATTGAGCAATTTTTTTTCCTGCAGGTTGCAGGAAATAATTCAAATCTTTGGTTGCCTTAGGGCTTAATTGTGGGGATCAAGTCCTAGCTGGGTGTAAAATGCATCCAGGGAGAAGCCACACCCAGGGGCGAAAATCTGTTCATTGCAAGCCATGTTATTGTTACATTAAAATTTGTTAAGAGAAAAAGACAATATAGCAAAGTATGACCTGAATATGTGTTTGTATTTGGAAGGAGGAGAATGCTTGTGTCTGGTATGGGCACCCCTGATACTGACTCTAGGAAATGAGAATCCGAAAGTACTTCTGGCATGTCAATGGGTAATTTTCTTTACTTGCAGGTTCTTTAAAGAAAAAAAAAACAAGGTGAAATGTGACTGTTATGCACAGATATACTGTATATGTTTTCTTTTTTTTGCCCTGACATATTGCACACCCATTGGTATATTCCATTCCCAATTTTGGCCTTAATTACTGAGCAGGATTGATACTTGTGTTAGCCACTTCCTGTCCGATCCATGTACATAAACAGTCGGATGGGAGCAGTGCAGGTGTGGGTGGCCGTTTATAAATGGCCTCCGCATTCACTGCCTGTGGCGCTCCCTGGGAGCGCGCGCGGCACCGCAATCCAGAGGACACAGCGGAACACCAATTGCTGTATGGGACCTTTGTGTGAGGTTCCGATCATGTGATCACTGATTGACCAATCAATGATCACATGAATAGTAGTAAGCAAGATGTTACTTGCTGATATAATTGCTTACTACTAGTGAAATCTGTGAATGATCACAGAGGTCACATGGTACAAGGCTATTCACAACAGCCTTATACCATGTGACAAGCTGTGACCAATCACAGCTCTCACAGTATTTCTCAATGGCTGCAAGAATGCAGCCAGAGAGAAGGAGAAATGATTGCTTTTACACCCATAAAGGCTGTAAAAGCAATCAGTGTAAAAATAAATAAATAAATCTTCATCACCTCCCACAAGAAGTACAGTGTCACTATGGTGACACTGTACTGCTAGGGTGACAGTATGTTAAATAAAAAAAACATTAATAATATAAAAAAAAATTTTTTTAAAAATGATAATTTTTGGTTATAAACTAATTTGGGTTTTTTTTTTCACTAAAAAGATAGCTGAATACATTTTGGCCAAGATTTATGAAGAAAGATTATTATTTATTTGCAAAATTGTATAAGAAAAACACTTTTTTTTCAAAATGTTTGGACTTTTTCATTTATATAGCAAAAAAAAATAAAAATCCCAGTGGTGAATAAATACCTCTAAAATAAAGTTTTATCTGTCTCAAAAAAATGCTAAAAAATTCATATGGGTACAGTGTTGCATGACCGCAAAATTGTTATTCAAAGTGTGATAGCACTGAAAGCTGAAAATTGGCCTGGACAGGAAGGGGGTGAAAGTGTGTGGACTTGAAGTGGTTAATGGTATGTCTACAATTAAAGTGTAACTGTTACAAAACCACCATATTCCCTCTTTTATTTTTTACCTGCAATAGAAAATATTACTTACAGTAATCTGGCTGCTATAAGAGATATAGGGGTTGATTTACTAAAGGCAAATAGACTGTGCACCATACAAGGTGCAGTTGCACTCTTCAAGTGCAATTGCTCCAGAGCTTTGTAAATGAGATAAAGATTCACTTTGCAAGGAATACCCAATCATGTGCAAGGAAAATTGAAAAAAATAGCACTTTTGCTTGCACATGATTGGATGTTGGAAGTCAGCAGAGCTTCTGCACATTTACTAAGCCCTGGAGCAACTGCTCTTGCAGAGTGCAACTGCACTTTGCAAAGTGCACAGTCTATTTGCCTTTAGTAAATCAACCCCACAGACTGTTAGGGGTTTATTTACTAAACCTGGTTGACTCAGAATCTCGGGCACCTGTGCATGGTAGCCAATCAGCTTCTAACCTTAGCATGTTCAGTTAAGCTTCAGCAATAAAACCTGGAAGCTGATTGGTTTTTATGCAGAAGTGGACAAGATTCTGAGTCAACCAGGTTTAGTAAATAAACCCCTTTATGTCTACAGAGGCTACTGCTGGCTATTTGAATAAAGAGAACCTTTCATTGTACAGAATGGTTTGGCAGAAGCTGAGAAAGTGGGGTATCCTGTGTGGTCCCCGAGGGGCAGATGAAAGCATTGTTTAGGCTGTATTCTCCTCTGCGATCCCACACATTTCCTTTCGGCAGAGAGAAGTAGAGAAAGGACGTAAGCACCATGCCATAGACCTGGAGAGAAACATAGGACATAAATATTGAGGGTCACTCATAGATGTTTATATCATGATAATACTGACTACAATACCTATAAAATAGCTTTTAAAATACATTGTTTTCTTCTGTGTTCTAGTTCCATTCATCTGTATGTTTATAATACCACAGCATAGTCCCATAAGTCTCTGGCTTGCCTACCTGGATGTTCTTGGTTAAATGCCCAGAGCTCAAGTATTTTATCTTCAATCCTTCTCAATTCCTGCCAAAATTGAGGGTTAATGAAATATCCTTTGACTGGGCACACACATCAGACAGTGGTTAGAAGCCAGGAATTATTTCACCTCCTAACTAGTTCAGCTCTTGCACCGGTATACCTCTTATGGACCAGAGTCATTTTAAAATTTCTTCTAGAGGCTGGCTTATTCTGCAATAACCTTCTCATACTTACTTAAGATATCAATGTGATACTCTAAATATTTTTTTACAGGACAAAAAGGGTTTCTTTTGGTGATTTTGTCTTGTAAAAATTTCATTTCACACAATCTATAGACAAAAATATGGAGAAAATGTTTACTAGCTGCAGATTTTTCTATTGATAGTATTAAAAAGAAATAGTGTTACAATAAATAAACAGTATTGTTTTTATTCAATAAATTGTCCGATTTATAATGACACTAAAACCACATTCTGGAATAAAGCATTGCAAAGATATTTACAAATAAAAAAAAACATGAAAAAAGATTAACAAATAAAATGAACAAGAATAAAAAAAAGGTAAAATATTAATGCTTGAAAAATAGACGTTAAAAAAGATAGAAGAAAAAAATAATAGCGAAGGGTGTAAATAATTACTTTGGGCTGTCTAGAGTTAACTAAATGTTAATAAAAGGTTAAAAAAAGGAAAAATATGTATTTAAAAAAATGTTCTTTTTTTACTTGTAAGGTTGCTTTCACTGACATCATTCGCAGATCAAAGCTCATCCCTTTGATCTGCAGATGAATGAAACGGAGTAAATACAAAGTAACAATGTTATTTTGTATCTCTGAGTCACACTGAACAGTATGTACAAAAACTGATCATCAGGTCTTTTTTTGACAGCAGTGGCTAGAGGCTGATGTAGTAACACAGCAAGTCCCAGCTGTCATTTTGACAGCTGAGGAATCGCCAGTAAATTTGATAGGGGAAATTGACAGCAGAAGGGGACAGGATGTGATATTAGTAGAGATGCACCGATACTGGTATTGTTGCAGATACTGAATATTTCATGAGTACTTATGAAAATGCTTCTGTTACCCAAAACTAATACTTTGCAGTGCCATTTGCATCCATACAACATGAATGGGTGCAAATTGCACTGCTAATTGCATGCGGTTTCCCCACCACTCCTGTGTAAACCCAGGCTTGTCATAGCCTGAGTTCACACAGGAGTGGTGTAGGAAACCTCCCTGCACCAATTCCATGCTGTCGCACAATGAAAAGCCGCTTCACAGGTCTGGGGATTTGAAATCCACGTGGCTTTCTCTCCTCTCCTTGCAGTGGGCTGGATGGCTTCTGATTGGTCAGCATAATCATGTTGCTGACCAATCAGAAGCCATCTAGCCTGTACTGTCATCCCTGCAAGGAGAGGTGAGAAAGCCATGGGGATTTCAAATCCCTAGACCCGTGAAGCGGCTTATCGTTGTGTGACAGCATGGGATCGATACAGGGAGGTTTCCTACGCCACTCCTGTGTGAACTCAGGCTATGACAAGCCTGGGTTTACACAGGAGTGGTGGGGAAACCGCATGCAATTAGCAGTGCAATTTGCACCCATTCATGTTGTATGACAAGCCTGGGTTCACACAGGAGTAGTTGGGAAACCGCATGCAATTTGGACAGGAATTGCATCGCATTCCTGTTCAAATCCCATGCTATTCTTTGCTGTGCGACTTGCTTCCATTCATTTTGTATGGATGCAAATTTCACTGCAAAATATCAGTACTTGGTATCAGTGAGTACTTGACCAAGAGTACTGGTACTCCTACTCGCCGATAAAAAAAGGGTATCGATGCATCTTTAGATCAGTGTTTATCAACCCTTTTTCAGTCAAGGCACCCTTTAAAATTTTGGACAATCTCAAGGCACCCTTTAACATTCTGCACAATCTCAAGGCACCCCATTCTAAAATGTAAAAAAATGATTCTAATAGTTTTACATAACACAGCAACATCCACACATGTAGGACACCCAATGCTAGAAGTGATTTATTCTTACAAAGCAAATACACTTTTGCACACTGGTACTGAGTAGTATTTCAGTGTTCCTCTTCTCCTTCAGTTTCTCTTCCTCACTCAGCTAATGTGACCCCAGTGCTTATGAAGAGGTGCAAACAAGGATGCTGTGCAGATGCCCAACGTCCTCTTATCAACTAATGAAGTAAACTGGTTGTTAGGATGCTACCAGCTGGCAGGTTGTAAAAGCACGCAGTGAAATCCTATGGCTTTGTGTAACTAAAAGGCAGGCTTGATCCACCTGCTGGCTTGTATGCAATTTTTTGGCAGTTTTTAAACATTTTGCCAAGGCACCCCTGAAAAGGCCTGAAGGCACCCCAAGGTGCCTGGTTGAGAAAGGCTGCTCTAGATATTAGGATCAAAATCCCATTCACTGTAATAAAAATGCCTTCCACTTTGGCTCTGAGAGTGTTGGTGCACCATAGATACAACATTTGACTTTTGATCTTGCCAAAAATGCAGGTAGAGTGCAACAGTCATCTAATGTTTATTGGTATTTTGAGCTTTAGGCTGCATTTAAACTAGGAAAACCATGGCTTAAAAAGACCTATGGTTTTCAAAGCGCAGTTTAGGTGTGGTGGTAGTAAACTTTCTTGGAGGTCACTTGTCCTTGCCTATCATTGAACTCTATCTATGATGCATCCAAACTATTGCATGCTGTAATTTAGAAGTGCAACACGGAGACATTTCAGTACCAATGGTGAAGTATGGATGGCTACTTTACTGAAAACTAAAATCTAAACAGATTAAAAAGACACAAGTTAACCTCCCTAGCGATATGATTATGTCCATATTTCTGTGCTCAAAGCGGTACATTTTTTTGCATGGAAATGTATTTTTTTTTATTGTAGGCCTGTAATTTTTAGGAATAACTCACTGAAATCTATCCGAACAAGAGTCTAGTAAACATCCTGGGTAGGATAAAACTTGAAACACGAAATCATAAATTATAATTGAATAAATAATCATAAAAAATAATACTATATTAAATTTAATTCAATAATATAATCAAACCAAAAACACTGAAATTTGAAATATAGCGCCAAGTTCGCACATCACTGAGCAAAGTCACAAAATCATTTTCAGTGTCTGATGACGAATTTCCCCACGAATCATTATCACTCAATTCTGCAAGTGGTTCTGATTTACTATCGCTGTTCTCTAGCTGGTCTAAAACTGCTTTTGACCTAAAGGGACACTTTTTGGACACCATGGACGTTTCTCAGTTTCCAGGCAGAAAGAACAGTAATAATGCAGGCAGGGCACAGGACAAAGCACTCGGGACAAAATGTATGTGAAATGCTTTGATACAGTAATTACATTGCCAGGGACACTGTAGGAGGGACATCGTGGGAGCGCAAGACAAGGTAAGTGATTAAGGGATCCCGGAGCAGCGCCGCATGGTAAGCCCGAGTGTAGCTCAGGGTTACTGCTTGTGGTACTGAAACTTTACCCCGAACTACACTCGGGAATACCGCCAGGGAGTTTAATGCAGCCCTGTAATCATTAATACACCAATAAATGTATTTTTTGTTAACCTCCCTGGCGGTATGATTATTTCAGATTTTTGGTGCTGAAAGCGGTACCATTTTTTTGCATGGAAATATGTATTTTTTTTATTGTAGGCTGTAATTTTTAGGAAAAACACACTGAAATCTGTCCGAACAAGAGTCTAGTAAACATCCCGGGTATGATAAAATTTGAAACACAAAATCATAAATTATAATTTAATAAATAATCATAAAAATAATATAAAAATAATAAAAAATTTAATTCAATAATGTAATCAAACCAAAAACACTGAAATGTGAAATAGAGCGCCAAGTTCGCACATTGCTGAGCTCAGTCACAAAATCGTTTTCAGTTTCTGATGACGAATTTCCCCCACGAATCATTATCACTCAATTCTGCAAGTGGTTCTGATTTACTATCGCTGTTCTCTAGCTGATCTAAACCGCTTTTGACCTAAAGGGACACTTTTTGGACGCCATGGACATTTCTCAGTTTCCAGACAGAAAGAACAGACAAAATGCAGGCAGGGCGCAGGACAAAGCACTAGGGACAATATGTATGTGAAATAGGTTGAAACAGCAATGTTTTACTGTGTAAAATGTAAAAAAAAAAAAATGACATTTTTTAAAATTTTTAAATTTCCCGGCGGCGGCGGCGGGCGCCCGTACGTCCCGACGTCACAGGGACAGGACACAGAAGCCGGATGCCGGCATCGGCCGGAGGAGATGGCCGGGGACGCTGCAGGGGACACATCGTGGGAGCGCAGGGTAAGGTAAGTGAAGAACACTTGCCGGAGCAGCGCCGCATGGTAAGCCCGAGTGTAGCTCGGGGTTACCGCTTTTGGTACTGAAATGTTACCCCGAGCTACACTCGGGAATACCGTCAGGGAGGTTAATGTAAGCAGTGCAACTACTTGCTTTTGACCTGGTCTCAGCCTCTTGTAGTTCCCAAATAGAAGAGCTGGAGTATGAGAGGAAGAAGCAGCACAAGAAGCCAATCAGTTCATGTGCTGACAAGAAGCATGCTGATAGGAAGTGAAAACAGAGCGATGAGCTCATCACTGTGCTGCTTCACCTTTCAATGGCCAGTCACAGGCTGGACATCCTGGGCTCAGAAGAAGTGGGCTGAATGGCACTGGGCATCAGACTGAGGACATCTAGTGGCACAATAATGAGGAAACCTCAGGAATTGAATATTACAGCAGTTTAATTTTGTTATTTAACCTTTAATGTGCTGTTGTCTTCTTTTTTATAAGGGGGGAGGGGGGGGGGGGGGGAGGGGGGGAGTTGGGGTGCTTAATTTTGATGTATTGGGTTTCCTGAGTTGTAAACATTTATGAAAGTGTGCAAACAAAGGTTTGAAAATGCATTGATCTGAAAAAGCTCCTACAGTAAAGTCTAATTTACACTGCAATCCCTGTATTCATTGCGCAGTTTTGCATGCACATGCCCTTACATATACCCAGTGAAGCGACTACCCTCAGCTGAGACACACAGATAAAACAAATCCTCCTACATAAGTTGTTCCTGTTTATCTTCAGCCATCTCTCCTCTGTAGCTGTTGGAAGTGCAGAATGTATGCAGAATTTCTGCTCTTTCAGAAAGCAGGGGGCGGGGAGATGAAGTTCCCCTCTGCAGAGCTCAGTGAGAGCTGATTGGAGGGGAGGGGCACCCCCCCTCCTTCACACAGCACACAGGAATGGAGCTAAGGCTGTCAATCACAGGCTGTGTGCTGGAGATCCCTCCCTGTCACCTTTTTCTTCTTTTGGTGTAAGGAAAATTTGTCACAAGTGACATACGCAGATATGTAGCAGAGGTACACACTATAGAGGGATATGCTTTGTTCGTATTTTATGTCAGAGGTTTATAACCACTTTAAAAGAAAATAACTGACTTTCCCTGTGAAGGGTGTACAGCGTGACAGATGTTTAATTCCACATCTTTGGTACTGAACAGCTAGTTGAAGTCTTTCAGACTTTGGCCTGGATTTCGTTCCACAAGAACATTTTCCCTCAAGCTTTGTTTATTTTGTCACTTCTTCCTTTCCTTCTATGCTCTTTTTTAAACAAAGATGATTTGAAGATTTCCTTGCAGAAACCATCTCCTATTTGGGAATCAGCTGTATATTAGATGAGCTACAGAGAATATCAAATATTATTTTAACAGAGAGCTGATGAAACACATAATCACAATCAACAGAGTTAAATAACACAGTTAATCTACACTCTAGATTCTATAGCATTCATGTTAGGAAACCTATCTCACAGGACACCTTATGGCAAAGGCCCTTATGGAGACTGTCTGTGACCACAGCAATCATAAACCAATCAGATTCTCCTCTTAATCCGGCCATACATGGATCGGAATGTGATCAGTTCAGCAGGGACCGGACGAATTTCGATCCATATACAGGTGAAACTCGAAAAATTAGAATATTGTGCAAAAGTTCATTTATTTCAGTAATGCAACTTAAAAGGTGAAACTAATATATGAGATAGACTCATTACATGCAAAGCAAGATAGTTCAAGCCGTGATTTGTCATAATTGTGATGATTATGACTTACAGCTCATGAAAACCCCAAATCCACAATCTCAGAAAATTAGAATATTACATACAATCAACAAAACAAGGATTGTACATAGAACAATATCGGACCTCTGAAAAGTCTAAGCATGCATATGTACTCAGTACTTGGTTTGGGCCCCTTTTGCAGCAATTACTGCCTCAATGCGGCGTGGCATGGAAGCTATCAGCCGGTGGCACTGCTGAGGTGTTATGGAGGACCGGGATGCTTCAATAGCGGCCTTCAGCTCTTCTGCATTGTTCGGTCTCATGTCTCTCATCTTTCTCTTGGCAATGCCCCATAGATTCTCTATGGGGTTCAGGTCAGGTGAGTTTGCTGGGCAATCAAGCACAGTAATCCCACGGTCATTGAACCAGGTTTTGGTGCTTTTGGCCATGTGGGCAGGTGCCAAGTCCTGCTGGAAAATGAAGTCAGCATCCCCATGAAACTCGTCTGCAGAAGGAAGCATGAGGTGCTCCAAAATCTCCTGATAGACAGCTGCATTGACCCTGGACTTAATGAAGCACAGTGGACCAACACCAGCAGATGACATGGCTCCCCAAATCAACACAGACTGTGGAAACTTCACATTGGACTTCAAGCATCTTGCAGTGTGTGCCTTTCCATTCTTCCTCCATAATCTGGGGTCCTTGGTTTCCAAATGAGATGCAAAAGTTGCTCTCATCAGAAAAGTGGACTTTGGACCACTGAGCAACAGACCAGGTCTGTTTTTCTTTAGCCCAGGTAAGACACTTCTGACGTTGTTTGTTGTTCAGGAGCTTCTTGACAAGAGGAATACGACATTTGAAGCCCATGTCCAGGAATCCGTCTGTGTGTGGTGGCTCTTGATGCACTGACTCCAGCCTCAGTCCACTCCTTGTGAAAGTCCCCAACACTTTTGAATGTCCTTTTCCTGCCAATCCTCTCCAGGCTGCGGTCATCCCTGCTGCTTGTGCACCTTTTTCTTCCACACTTTTTCCTTTCCACATAACTTTCTATTAATGTGCGTTGATACAGCACTTTGGAAACATCCAACTTCTTTTGCAATTCCCTTTTGAGGCTTTCCCTCCTTATGGAGGGTGTCAATGATGGTTTTCTGCACAACTGTCAGGTCAGCAGTCTTTCCCATGATTGTGATTCCTACTGAACCAGACTGAGAGACCATTTAAAGGCTCAGGAACCCTTTGCAGGTGTTATGGCTTAATTAGCTGATTAGAGTGGGACACTTTGAGCCTAGAATATTGCACCTTTTCACAATATTCTCATTTTCTGAGATTGTGAATTTGGGGTTTTCATGAGCTGTAAGCCATAATCATCACAATTATGACAAATCACGGCTTGAACTATCTTGCTCTGCATGTAATGAGTCTATCTCATATATTAATTTCACCTTTTAAGTTGCATTACTGAAATAAATGAACTTTTGCACGATATTCTAATTTTTTGAGTTTCACCTGTATGGGCAGGGAGGTTGTACAGAAGTCAATCTACTGAATTCTGTACGACCACCCTGTTGGATTTTCGCTGCTTGGTCAGCCCTGCAGGCTACAGCCTGCAACGCTGATCAGTGTATTCTGACAACGGGCTTGTGTTTTTGCTGTCAGAATACCAAAGCTAGCTTGCAGTTTTTTTATTCAATCCGCTGGCTGAATAACTAAAACAGACTCATCTTTAGGCTGCTTTATTCTGGGCATCTATGTGCTCTATTTTTTTGGGGGGGGGATGTTAGAAAAGTATAATTGATTGGTTGACAACCGAGACAACTCTGAAACCTGACTTTTCTCAATTGCATTTATGGAATACAACTTGGTCATCCCCTACCTACAGTATACAATGCATTACAATGCATACAGTGTCCAGTGCATTACAGAGTACAGTGCATTGGGGTTTCCAGTGCGGTACAATGTACAGTGCATTGCAGTGTCCAGTGCGTTACAGAGTACAGTGCAGTCCAGTGCATTTACAGAGTACAGTGCATTGCAGTGTCCAGTGCATTACAGAGTACAGTGCATTGCGGAGTGTCCAGTGCGTTACAGAGTACAGTGCATTGCGGAGTCCAAGTGCGTTACAGAGTACAGTGCATTGCGGAGTCCAGTGCGTTACAGAGTACAGTGCATTGCGGGAGTCCAGTGCGTTACAGAGTACAGTGCATTGCGGTGCGTTACAAGTGTACGTTACAGAGTACAGTGCCAGTGCGTTACAGAGTACAGTGCATTGCGGTGTCCAGTGCGTTACAGAGTACAGTGCATTGCGGTGCCAAGTGCGTTACAGAGTACAGTGCATTGCGGTGTCCAGTGCGTTACAGAGTACAGTGCATTGCGGTGTCCAGTGTGTTACAGCGTACAGTGCATTGCAGTGTCCAGTGTGTTACAGAGTACAGTGCATTGTGGTATCCAGTGTGTTACAGAGTACAGTGCATTGCGGTATCCAGTGCGTTACAGAGTACAGTGCATTGCGGTGTCCAGTGTGTTACAGAGTACAGTGCATTGCGGTATCCAGTGCGTTACAGAGTACAGTGCATTGTGGTGTCCATTGCGTTACACAGTACAGTACATTTTGGTGTCCAGTGTGTTACAGTGTACAGTGCATTGTGGTGTCCAGTGCATTACAGTGTACAGTGCATTACAGTGTACAGTGCATTGTGGTGTCCAGTGTATTAGTGTACAGTGCATTGTGGTGTCCAGTGCATTACAGTGTACAGTGCATTACAGAGTACAGTGCATTGTGGTGTCCAGTGTATTAGTGTACAGTGCATTGTGGTGATCAGTGCATTACAGAGTACAGTGCATTGTGGTGTCCAGTGTATTAGTGTACAGTGCATTGTGGTGATCAGTGCATTACAGAGTACAGTGCATTGTGGTGTCCAGTGCATTACAGAGTACAGTGCATTGTGGTGTCCATAACCTACCGTGAATCCTAGAGACAGGAGCAGCAACATTCTAACCCAGTGTAAATGTATGTGCAAAGCTGTAGATATTATCAACACACAGTCCTGTAAGGAACAGAGAGAAGGTGGAGTTTATAAGACTTTTATGCCACACTGATTTTCATTTACCAGCTACATTAAGTTCAATGTACTATAATGTGATATGAATTCTTTACTGGAGGACACTTCCTATTTCATACTTGATTTTGCCTGGAAATTGACTTCATGTCTCTAATTTTTTTATTCTTTCCACCATTATTGATTTTACATCTCCTTGACAATACCTTCCCAGGGCTGGGCCAATACAGAGGCAGGAGAGATGCTCACCTTAGGTACTGTAGTGGTGCAGAGACGTAGGTAGAGCCTTTTTCTGCTCTTGTGACAGCCAGCTGTCTCAGTGCTTAGCAAGACCAGGCTGTCAAATTTACTGACTGGCCCTGCAGTAGAGCTTTGCTGTCAGTGAGCCCTACTTTGTATCAGGTCACAACACTTTGTGGCTTTCCACACAGCCAGCAACTACCTGCGGTGATTGCTGGCTGTGCAGAGAGCTGCCAAAAGTTGTGGCTGCTGGCTACCTCTCATTATAGTGAACAGGGCCAGCAGCTGCACCTAGCCACGGCAGGAATTAGAAGATTCCTGCTGCTACAATAAGCACCAGTCTAAATCGCCAGTGTGAATGTAGCCTTAAAAACTTGAATGGTTCTAAATGATGTCAATTAAAAAAAGGCATCGCTGCTCTTTCTGTGCCATTTGGATAGATTTATTATCACTTGCTGCCTATGTGAGATCCTGTCATTGGACAAGAAGTGAGGTCAAATTTCCCAGTGGGGCCCAGACAGCAGTAGAAGGCTCTAATTTAACCCTTCCCAAATACACTGGGCTCTAAATAATCAGAGATTAATTTAACAAAGACATTTTCCAATAAATAACCCTAGCACAGGCATTTCTGTACCCTCCGTTTAATCAATGTTCCACTGTTCCAGTTCAAAGGAAGAATTCTAGTCTTTTGTATATCCCTTTTGATCATCTTTATAACTTGACTCCTGGGTCATTCTGTGTTTAAGTGATATAAATCTTAGCTAGATTATACTGTAATTAGAAATGTCCCATTATCTGGGTGAAAGTTTAAAGAAGTTTTTTTTTTTTAACTAGGACGTAAATGATGTCACTAGTTCTGAGCCAGTACAACGTCAAGATCTGTACTCAATAAAAAATTGAACGTACTTGTCCTTCTTCTCTGCTCTTGCAAAAATTGTGGGTATCAGGTATCTTCAGATGTCCCCCAGTCTTTCCACAGCACTGAAACTGAGAACATAACATAATTATGTGCCTCTGCTTGCAGTAGAAGCAATAAAAAGGAGGAAGAGATCTTCACGCAAAGAAGGAAGTTACAAGAAGAATGTTTTTTCTTCTTCTATATGAGTCCCCGATGCCCCCCTAACAGTGAATAGAAGGTAATAATGTATAATCCTATGAAGATACTTACTATATCATGTGTTTGTACAAGCTGCTTCTTTGCATTTTCAGAAGATCTCCTAAGAACTTGTTCAAAGATATCATCATACACGTCTAGAAAAGAGGCCTCAACCTGGAAAAATTTAGACAGTTACTTATATTATATTATGGCAGCCAACTGTGAGCTCTCACAATGTCAAAATCTGCATAATAAAAGTAAAATATGTCCTCTCACCACTTCCTTTCCATTTACAAAATCAGTTTAACCTTGTACATAGAGTACATGTGCAGAATGTACATAAACTATAATGTTCAGATCTGGCTTGTGAGTATGTCATATCTGGATCTCTTCCAGCATCTGTCTTCTGAAGAGTGGGCTAGTCACCCTATTAGACTTGTTCATCTGCTTGTGAATTCTACAGATTTACAATAATAGCAATGAAAGCCGCAGTATGCATATTTTTCATACATTTTTTCTAACCCAGTTTAAGCTGTTGCTGTGGACAGTCCTATATATAACATAGGATTTAACTCATCGGTATTGTGCATGAATAGTTAAAGCCAGCAAAATACATGACAACAAGGAGCCCTAAGCCTAAAAGGACTTGAACCTGTCATCATTAAGGGGTTAAAGAGATCCTGTTAGGTCTCTAAAGTAATCAAACTGGTACTCCCCTGCAATAGAAGAGGTATTATATTCACCTCTCCAGTGGACATGCCTCCTGCATCTCTTCTGTTAGAGCACTGAGGCTTCCGTAATTTTTTGTGGCAATAGATACTTCCAGGTGTGTGGGAACAGGGGCGGACTGACCATCTGGAAACTCGGGCACTGCCCGAGGGCCCGGGGTCAGTAGGGGGCCCCATGAGATGCCCCTGGTACCTTTTTCATAGGCTTTTTTGAGTTTGGGCAAGAACACAGGGGCCCCATGATCCCCTATTGCCCGGGGGCCCCATGAGTTGTCAGTCCGCCCCTGGTCGGGAACCAGTGTCCCTAACCACTTCATTGCCTGCAGTATGTTGTGCCTTTGTCCTGAATTGCCACAGCACAGAAGAGAGACAGACATTACATGCTTACCTGCATGCTGCCTTGGTTGGAGTGAGTACTTAATAATCCCTGGAAAAGTAATGTAATCTAAATATTATATAATTAAGGCTCGGTTCACACTGCTGTGATTTGAGATCCAACTTGTGAGACGTCAAGTCACATGACATGTGAAATCCCATGTTAGTCAATGACAGCTTTTTTAATTAGCACTACTGAAGTCGCTCCAGCTTTAGAAAAGGTTCCTGTACTACTTCAAGGAGACTTCTATCCGACTTGTGCCCATAGGCTTTCATGGAAGTCACCTTCAAGTCCTCATCTATATTGATGTGATCTGTATCCAACATTACAGGAAAATTACCCAGGCAAAGTTGCATGGCCTGAAGTCACGCATCAAAGTCATACTCAAGTCACCATAAGTAGCGCGACTTTCAGGTCGCAGCAGTGTGAACCAAGCCTAAATAGGCTCTTTCACCCTGTTTGTATATTCTAAATAAATACAGTTTTGACTAAACATACAATTTAAATTTCTTAAGTACTTTAAAATGCAAGTACTGGCAAATATCATGTTCATGTACTTAACCCTACTGTACTTTTGGTTGGTGGTCACTGTACATGAGCAGTAGCAAATACATAGGAATTCCTAGGCTTGACCGCACTGGTTAACCACAGCCTCATACCGCACCAGCATCCAAGCTTTTGAAAACCATTTTACTTGCTAAGTAATAAATCATTCTGGTCCTAACTTCCACAGGTTATGGCATTGCTTGCTAATCTGTAGTTTATCCAGAATGTGTAAAGCTATTCGCAATTTCTTGGCAATCGCTATACAAGTGAATGCATGCAGTTAATCCTGGCAGTACTTGTTCAGTTACTGGAAAGTCATGTGGCTCATGCAATTGACAATTTTCCTTGCAACCTGTAATAACTTCATTTTTGTCCCATTCATGCATAGACAAAGTAAATTTGCCTCATGTTCTATTGTTTCAGTCCACACAAATGTGCTGTGATGGTGTGTGATGAAAAAAGTACAACAGAATACATGTCTACACAGCATGTTGCAACGCAACGGACCAAGGTTCATAAAGTTTAATGAAAGTCTGACATGGGCCTGAACATACTACGTACATTTTAGATCCACCTCCCCTTTGATTAATTATGGGTGGAGCCTGATGGAAGATGCTGGGAGACTAGTTCCCCATCAGGGGAATCCATTGTGATTGACAGCGGACAGCAGTAGACACATTCCATATCTATTAAGCAACCCACTAGTGGCTATGGAATCTGTCCACTGGTGGCCACTGTCAATCACAAGAGTGGATCTGATGGGGAAATAGTTTCAGAATCTCCATCAGGTTCTGCCCACCCAACAGGAGAACTCCTTGGCACCTTACTGTGTGACAGCTGAACACATTTTACATGTGTTCCTTGAGATGAGTTTCTGAGCAGAATAATTTGTACTTCATATTGGAGGGTCTCTTTCCTGTCCCTCTGGCCTCTTGTTTTCAGGGCTGGGAGTAAGGTAAAATCTCCCTAGTGAATGCAGCAATAAATAATATGATAGATAATTCTAACCTCTGCTCATATTTTTCCAGGGAAAAAATGAAGATCATGTGTTGGGCGACATGTTACTGGTGTGCTGACTCATAATCCAGAAAGTAATTAAAAGATCTGTGGTGATGCTTACAAATAGTATTTCTATTGAGGACATACTATTTTAGAAATGCTTTATTCTGAGAATTTGGCATAAAATGTAGACAAGGGACATCAATAAAACTGTGTTTATGTAGCGATGCTGCCCTATGCAGTTTTGTCTACAATAAATTTAGAATGTGTTACTGCTTGGCTCTAACCAATTTGAGCTGACGTTTACTCTTTTTTCTGGGTTCTGCAGGTTTTTCATAAACTCAGGGAATTGAATGATTTTATCTACTACTTTGTTAGTAGCTCTCTGGATCTTTTTCCCTTGGGGCTTCTCTCTGGGAGGAGGACTTTGCGAAGAATTTCTTGTTCGGCCAGTTATTTGCTGAGGGCCCTAGAAACTAAGATGAAGCTAAAGTAGATACTTAAAGAGAGTTTGACTGAAAATTATATTCTTGCCAAAAGGTGTCACAGAGAAGCTAGGCAGAGCTGGCATCTGGACCTTGGGAGATGGAAGTCCCCTTGGACTTGGGAGCAAGGAGACAGGATGGCTTTCAAAGGGCCACAGATTGGTCTGGCTGTTCCTCTGTCTTTTAGCATCTACAGTGGGGCAAAAAAGTATTTAGTCAGACACCAATTGTGCAGGTTCTCCCACTTAAAAAGATGAGAGAGGCCTGTAATTGGCATCATAGGTAGACCTCAACTATGAGAGACAAAATGAGAAAAAAAATCCAGACAATCACATTGGCTGATTTGGAAAGAATTTATTTGCAAATTATGGTGGAAAATGAGTATTTGGTCACCTACAAACAAGCAAGATTTCTGGCTCTCACAGACCTGTACCTTCTTCTTTAAGAGGCTCCTCTGTCCTGCACTCATTACCTGTATCAATGGCACCTGTTTGAGGTTGTGGACAGGTGTCTTTTTTACTGATAACAAGTTCAAACAGTCACACTCCAAGCTCCACTATGGTGAAGACCAAAGAGCTGTCGAAGAACACCAGAAACAAAATTGTAGACCTGCACCAGGCTGGGAAGACTGAATCTGCAATAGGCAAGCAGCTTGGTGTGAACAAATCAACTGTGGGAGCAATAATTAGAAAATGGAAGACATACAAGACCACTGATAATCTCCCTCGATCTGGGGCTCCATGCAAGATCTCACCCCCGGGGTCAAAATGATCACAAGAACGGTAAGCAAAAATCCAAGGACCACACGTGAATGAGCTGCAGAGAGCTGGGACCAACATAACAAAGGCTACCATCAGTAACACACTACGCCGCCAGGGACTCAGATCCTGCAGTGCCAGACGTGTCCCCCTGCTTAAGCCAGTACATGTCCGGGTCCATCTGAAGTTTGCTAGAGAGCATTTGGATGATCCAGAAGAGGATTGGGAGAATGTCATATGGTCAGATGAAGCCCAAATAGAACTGTTTGGTAGAAACACAACTCGTCGTGTTTGGAGGAGAGAGAATGCCGAGTTGCATCCAAAGAACACCATACCTACTGTGAAGCATGGGGGTGGCAACATCATGCTTTGGGGCTGTTTCTCCGCAAAGGGACCAGGATGAATGATCCATGTACAGGACAGAATGAATGGGGCCATGTATCGTGAGATTTTGAGTTCAAACCTCCTTCCATCAGCAAGGGCATTGAAGATGAAAAACGTGGCTGGGTCTTCCAACATGACAATGATCCCAAACATACCGCCTGGGCAAGGAAGGAGTGGCTTCGTAAGAAGCATTTCAAGGTCCTGGAGTGGCCTAGCCAGTCTCCAGATCTCAACCCCATAGAAAACCTTTTGGAGGGAGTTGAAAGTCTGTGTTGCCCAGCGACAGCCCCAAAACATCACTGCTCTAGAGGGGATCTGCATGGAGGAATGAGCCAACATACCAGCAACAGTGTGTGCCAACCTTGTGAAGACTTACAGGAAACGTTTGACCTCTGTCATTGCCAACAAAGGATATATAACAAAGTATTGAGATGAACTTTTGATATTGACCAAATACTTTTTTTCCACCATAATTTGCAAATAAATTCTTTCCAAATCAGCCAATGTGATTGTCTGGATTTTTTTTTCTCATTTTGTCTCTCATAGTTGAGGTCTACCTATGATGCCAATTACAGGCCTCTCTCATCTTTTTAAGTGTGGGGAGAACTTGCACAATTGGTGGCTGACTAAATACTTTTTTGCCCCACTGTATTTTTAGAGGTTGCTATCACAACACATTTTGCTTATTCAGTATATCTGTCTTCATATTTTGTGCTATTTTATCTATACTGTACCCCTAAACCCCTCTCTCAAGTTTGAGTATTGCAATAAATGGTTAAAAAGACCCAAGTGACTGGAGTCTGAATATTGTCGGAGGCTTTTTTGTAAGCTGTTGGGTAATACCTACATTTAAAGCCCAGCATGAGCCCAAACCTTTTATTACATTCTGGATTAAGCA